ACATGTCAGATAAGATTCCACCTAAACGACACCGCAAGTAGAAGCTTACAGTCGGAAATTGGAATATACCCACAGGGAAAGAGCAGGAGCTAGTTAAGGAGGCAACAAGGTACCAACTCGATATAGTTGCACTCTCGTCAACAAAGGGCCACGGATCTGGAATTTTGAACCTCTGCAGGTGAAAGCTATTCTACTGAGGTTTCGATATCGCGACATGCCGGTGATGGAGTTCGGCTAGAACCCAATCTGACTGATAGAATCATGGAACGGAAGCCTGTAAGCGGAGAAGCAACAATCCTTAACTGAAACCACAACTGCGTCACAGAAGTCACAGCTGCGATGGTCTGGGCACAAATTGAGAATGCCTCCAGAAGGGAAGACTAAGCAGCTATTGCTTGCCAAGCATATCGACAGGAAACCGAAAAGACGGCTAAGATTAATCGCTGGCAAGCGCATCGAAGAAGTCTGCTCTAAACTTCGGCTGTCTTCGGCGGAAGCTCATTTGCTGGTACAGGATCAGGAACGTTGGATGGCAGCGTCTGATGCGGATGCCTCTGCGACCCCAAAGGACAAGCCATCATGGCAAATAATTGAGTGAAAATGTAAGAATAATAAATAACGACAACTATCCAGTTCAATTCGTTAAGAATATAAACCTCGAATAACGTACTTTAAACTAACATTTACAGCAATAATATGGAAAGTACTGTTTTAAACAAATGGACTTCAATTAACTGTCCTGATTATAATGTAGGATACTTGATACTGAAAATAATTGTGACGTTATGTTCAAATGCTCTAAAACAATATATTAATGTTATTAAATAATTTTGAAAATACCGACTCTCTTGACTGAATTCATAAATTACCATGTAACTGCCAGAAAAGCATGGAACACCATCAGTCGAAGTATAAGGACCCATCTATCAATTTTGAAAAGATAGATTATCGCGGCCGATTTTGAGGGACACGTGATGAGAAAGCAACCGAAAAAATAGAAAGCCTCGCCCCTTTCTCATCCAAATCAAGGAATAATGCATTAAAACTGAGTGTGCAACAAGCGGAAGAGGAAGGACACGGCCCCCCGTTCCCAAGACGATTAGAATGTGAACCGACATCAATAAAACAGACATTGGCCGAACAGATGTGTTAAGGAAGAATTGTATATGTATAAAATCTTGCATTTCTTTACTACGACAGATTTTCAGATGCGTTCGATGAAAAGCTGGTAGACCTGCCTACGCAGTCAAGCAAAAGTTTACCACGCTGTTTGACAGAATCGAGTTTCTAAGCTCGCCTCGATTTACTGACAAAAGAAAAATAATTGACAACAGATTAACATAACTTCCTAACTCTA